ACTAGTTCGCAAGAAGATCAGCAATGCAATGCATTCCTGCTGACAGGGAACCTTCATCTTTGAACCAACTGGGATCCGAGTGCCAAAACATGAAAGAACCATTGCAATGGGGTCAAAAAGAACAGCACAGACTCATCTGTAGGTTCAGCCGTGGCTGCCCCAAGAAGACTATGGTCCTGTTTTGCACGGAGCTCGATGATACCAATTTTCTTGGCAAACTCTTCGATGATGGACTTGAGGCATTCCAACCTTGTCAGTCCCAAGGTTTCCCTGTTCAACATGTCCACAGTGAACCCAGAAAGAACACGTCAAAAGTATTTTTGCTTGGGAACTCACAATCCTCAGGTGGACTGTAACCTCCAACGCCACCACTTTCCACCATGGCTGAATCCGCCATCCTTACAAATCCGACAACGGCCCTCAGGAGCTGCAATGGCTGCTGCTTAGATGGATCCTACAGCTTGTTGATTGCACGAGTGCAAAAAGATCCTGCAAAGCGAGAGAAGCAGGGGAAGGCACCTGATGCCCACGTCTTTTGCCGGGTCAAGGCAAAGGCACGCTTCATGGGCAAGGCATCGAATCATGATTAGCCCATGAACTTGGTTAGAATGTTGAACACATCGTGAACATGTGCGATCTTGAAGATTTCCATGTATAGATCTACCACAGACATGCACATATACATGAACTGGAGCCAATCTTCTCACGGTTCCCATCTTGCATTTCATGTACCTAAAATATAGGTAACCATGTCAGTTCCTAACATGTTGGGACATGGAGTCGTTGGGAAGTGTTTCCCCAAGCTATTGATAGAGTGTTGAACCATCGTCTACGGTATCTACATGTATCACCATTCTACACCGGTCCGGCAGATCGGACACCCGAGACCAATTCCACCACTGGCGCGGACAACAACCCCTTGTTTGGCCCTCCGGGGTTTCTTCCGCGCAAACTTCGAACGGGCTTCGAACGGCCCCATCCTCCGCAGGTGTGACCGGTGCTCCAATTCGGTCCCTTGGCACCCACACACACCCCAAACCCCCATCGAAACGAGCCGAGCAACGGAGCCAACGGGAAGAACGGCCAAGCTCGTTCGATCCAACTCCGCCACCTTACGAGTATGAAGGTGGTGTGAACCAAACCACTGAGCGCGGATTTTCGGGTGGTTTCAATGATCTCAAGTAGAGGTTGTTTCAACAAACATTGTTCAAGTAACTAAGTAAAGGTTGAACATACTCTGAAACCGCCCAGCCCAGCTGTTTCGTTCGACGTCTTGCACAGAACCTGGGCGCCGAAAAACGCCATGTGTCCACGAGTGGAGCGGCGCGAAGCGAGTCTCTTGGGGTCAGCGGGTTTGGATGATTTGAACGCGCTTTTGTGGGTGGAAAAACACACAGCCTTTGTTTCCTAGCGTTTTGGAGTGTGTGCCTAGGCATCCGGGAGTGACCTTTATTGCGGGCGTGGTGGTGCCTAACTCTGGGACGTTGTGCTGAAGGTGCGTTGAACCTTGCGGTGAACTCATCCAGTTCTTGAGCAGGCAAGCGGCCAGAAGCCGGAGCCAGGACTGCTGGGCCGACCCTTTCTCTCTACGCGTCCGGCGACCCGATCTGCGAGTGATTGTCCGACCCTTTGAGAAGGCTGACGCTTCAAACATCGAACGCAGAAGGCCCGGGACGAGACATTCACTCTGGAAGTGGACCATCGCCCCAAAGGGAGAACCGTGTGAAAATCTGAATACAAAACAGGAATACGTGCCATGCACGCATCCATGGATTGTGCTTACAGGGGCCGTGTGTCAAACATCCTCAAACATCCTGACCTTGGAACGACCAATGGGCCACTTCGATCATCCAGGACTGGGATATGGGATATGGGCCATGGGTGTATTTTAATAGGGAGACCCACAACCAGTACATAGGGGTTTGATCTATTTCCCTTCTTTAAGGGACCACCCTCACCAGCTTCTTCAGTTCGTGACCTTCTTTGAGTCCCTGGTGACCTTTTCCAGGCCCACCAAGAGAAAGTGACCTCGTTCAGCAGGGGGATCAAAGATTGCTTCGTTCAGTCACGAACTGAAGCACGCTGAAGTTCATCATGAAGGGTCACCGAACTGGTTGATCCACTGACTCAGCTGACTGAAGCGACCGCTCTGCTCCGCGACTCAGTTGACCAAAACATCTCCGGAGGGGTTTATCCCTGGCAAGGGTTGACAAACACCTGGTAATCTAAAAGCAACTTCCGAACCCGTGGTTTTGAAAGGTGTATACGGTATTTGTGTGAACATTTAAGTTACTTTCTGCTTGCAACTCAAACACAAGTGAAAATTCAGTCTAGACAACTTTAGCCGAGTCATTTTCGAACTCTCTCCGTACTTTTACTGAACTGATTCCAACTTGTGCAAACTGTTTGTTCTTTTTGTTTGAGCTATAGTTACACAAGACATGCACAGGCTGATCACACATTAGGACAAACCTCGCCAAACACTGGAGGAGCCGTTGGCCGGATGTTCTTAGCCTGACAATAATCAAACAAATTCTCAGATATCATAATATAATATCCGACATCTGTTTCGTGGTCGATGTGCAATCGCATGCGGCTAGCCTGCGATGCATTGGCCGCTGATGGCCACTGAGTGGTTGTGTTGAAGATGTTTGTGCTTGGGCATATGCGTCTGTTCGACACAGCATGTACAGTAACACTTATAGAAGCAAGGACAACTGTTTCATTACCCTGTATGCAAGAACTTGTCACCTCATCTTCCATTCTAACCAAATGTCTTGTAACTTTATGTAAAATAAAGCAAACACATGTTGTAAATGAATCAAATTGATATACTGTATAATCCTATATATACACATTATATACACATAAACCTGGAGCATCCAATGGGTGTCCTCTCGTCTTCGGTCCCCAAGTAGTGCCTCCTTATTCCCACACCCAAAACACCATGGATCTCTCAACTCTCATCCTCCTACCGATCATCCCAGATCTTTCCAACAAAAGTCGACGTCTTCGTCATCGTTCCCACGAGCTCCGAAAGGCTGGCTTCCCCGCCCTGCTCGCGGTCCGCGCGCGGCGCGCGTCTCACGCGTCTGAACCGCCCTTTTTCGGGGTCCCAAGAGTCGCAGCGATCGCGCCGTGACGTCGTGAAGCCTTGGCGAGCCGAAAAGGAGAGCCGAGAGGAGAGGAGAGGCGGCGAAACGAACAGCGCACCGAAGGTTCGAAGGGGCGGATGGATTGGTGGTTTTCACGGAAGGGGGGAGGGGGGTTCAAGAAGAATGGATAGGTAGAAAGATCGGCTGGATGAAGAACCGAAGCAGCTGAGGTTTGGGGGTGTCCACAGGTGACCGGCAGGTGATTGGTTGAAATTCCTGAAACCCACCTCGCATCCCGGGGGGGCCGGGTTTCTTCAGCGACATCGGTCGGTGATATTGGGGTCGGTGAGGCTTTTTTGCAGACATGAACTCATGGCATCATGGTGTCATAGACATTCATAGACATTCAGTAGACTCAATTCCAACAATCCTGCAGAGTTCAGTTGATGTGTCTTCTCCTGGAGATGGACCTGATAGAAAGTGAAGTGACAAGCTGCATTGCTTATAAGCCAAATATACATCAATGTCCATATACCTAGAACCTGACTGACCCCTGTTTTGAAGCAAAACAAAGCAAACCATATGGTCTCTCGCATTCTTTCGCTATTCAAAGCTGCTAGTTACAAAGCGAGGTGAACGACGAACGTATCAAGGAACGGCCCTCGACCCTCCCCTTCGAATGGTCAGACGCCCCCGAAAAGAGCTGGTGTCGCTAGGTGTCGCTATGTGTTAATATGTGTCCTTTCCTGTCAACAAGACAGGTGCATGATCTATAATTTATATAGAGCCAATTTGACCTTTGTTTTGATAGGAAAAGGTCATATTTTGGTCGGTTGGTTGGGTGGTTATTCGCTTGTTCATTCACCCTGATCGGATCCCGCTCTCGGCTGCAAGTATCATTGGAAGCAACAGTGAAGCGCCGCGAACATCGAACCTGTCGGTTGTATCCGCACTCTTCCACTCTCCATGCGCTTAAAATGGGCAAACTCTTTGGCTGCTCAATAAGGCCAAACACTCCATGAGACTGCCATACCTTTTCAACCACACCAACAGATCGGCAAATATAACAGTCCCATATGAGTGTCTGGGTAAGGCCAGAAAGGCCGAAGTTAAACACTTGGCGAGTGCATCCAAGTCAGCCATGTGGCCTGGCCATGCCGGGCTGCGAAGACGAGGAATTCCTCGCGAAAAACCTATATAACTTGCCATTCCACATCGATCAGTTATAGGTTCTTTTCAATGGAACCATTTCTAAAGGATAAACCAGCGTTGATGTTTTGTCCTCTGCCACATGTCTTTTCTTGTTGACTCCAGTCCATCTCCCGTCGATTCCAGGCCGGTGAACTTGCGGAAGGGCGCCGTTTTGCCAGCGATGGAATCTCGCTCGACCGACTAGTGTCTGATTCCTATGCACGTGCATGTGGGTCCAAAGTAAAACATACAATCCGAAACAATTGGAAACAACTACAGAAACACACTTGTCAATAGTATAATACATGTTTAAGTTTTAGACTTTCACCAAGTTGCTTTGTTTTGACCCACATCCAGAGGCAACTTTCAATTGAAATTGCATGTCCTGTTTAGGGACTCGCCAGGATGCTCGAACAACATGCATGTGAAACTGAAATTGAAAAGTGCCCATCAGTTCTCTGACTCTGATAGAAAACATCAATCCAAGATCTTAACATATCTCAAGTCGACCAATCTCTTCAATTAAGTGACCTAGCTCTGGAGTTCCGCCTTTTGTGGACTTCCCGTTTCGTGACCAAAACGACCCAAAAATCCCGTTCGGTCAAAAAAAAAAACAGTTCCAGCTAGTAGACGGTTGCCATCGGTTGCCGAACTTCTTCTCCTCCGAACTTCTCCTTTTGTGTCCGATCCCAATTCGATCCAAGTTCTGGAGCATCACGGCATCACCGAGTGGATCCCCTCGGCGGTCCGAGCACCGTCTCCCGGCGAAGGGTCGCCGGCACCGAGCACCGTCTCCGGCGTTGCAGGCTTCGCTGCGGGTGCCGGTGGTGCGGGTGTGGCGCGGGTGAGGACCAGCAGCAGGAAGAACAGCAAAGCAGAGGCGGAGGCGGACAGCTTGAAGATGGCGTACCAGGATGGCCTTAAGCCAAAGGCAAGTGATTGGGAAGCCAACCTGACGCGTGGAAGACATGGTGAATGTAAAGAAAGGATCACAGGTGGTGATCCAAACGCGATAGACACGGCTTTGGGATCAATGCAAAACATCCAAACACGACTGACTCATATGATCAATCAGCTAGTAGCTGGAAGGGCAGTGGAGGGTTGACTGGAGCAACGGGTTCTGAGGCGGGTAAAACTGGCTGTTGCTTCTTTGATCACAGTTTCTATGCAGAATCCGAGGCCGCGTTTTCTTTATAGGTTTTTTTTTCCGTTTTTTTTGTTGGGATTTTTTTTCTGGTCCTGTTGTGGGCGCCTTCCCTCAGGCTCGTGTCTCCAAAATGATGGTTGTTTCTCCGCAAGCTGGCCACCTGCAAGTGCTCACCTTCTTTCCTTCCTTCCTTTCTTGCTGCCTTCTTTCCTTCCCTTCCCTTCCTTCCTTCCTTCCTTCCTTCCCTCCTTCCTTTCTTCCTTCCTGCATCACATAAGCAAAGCAAGGATAGCGAACAGCCACAAAAGCAAAAAGCAACAAAAGCCAACAGAAGCCTTCGAAAGTCAACACAAGTCACCAAAAGCCAACAGAAGCCAGCAAAAACCAACAGAAGCGAGCAACAGCTACCAGAAGCCACTAAAAGCCACCAGAAGCCAACAAAAGCCACCAGAAGCCACCAAAATCCCACAGAAGCCAACAAAAGCCACCAAAAGCGAGTAAAAGCCACCAGAAGCCAGCAAAAGCCGCCAGAAGCTAGCAAAAGCTACCAGAAGCCACCAGAAGCCAACAAAAGCCAGCAAAAGCCAACAGAAGCTAGCAAAAGCTACCAGAAGCCAC